ATATGGAGTTGAATCAGCAACGCCTCTCTTGAGGGATCAACATTTATGAAAGAAATATCACGATGAGAAAAAACAGTGACTCGAAGAACAGTGCTTAAGCCAAAAAAATGGTGCTTTATTATATTTGCTTCATTCACGTTTCACTGAAATGAGCAAAGAGGGGCAGTTGTAAGCACCATCATTTTTTATTCCACCATATTTTATTCAACATCCCATGTTACTACAATTTTTTATTCAACATCCCATGCCACTACCATTTTATATTCAATATCCCATGCCACCACCATGCCCCCACGTGAAGCACCCATGTTTCCACTAATTCCAAGCCTGCTCCACGCCTAAGCTGGCCCATCCCCTGCCAAATGCACCATCATAAACAACAAGCAACTTTAATTATTTGCATTTAGCTTGTATTTAGCGGGGGAAAGGTATAGAAAAAATGAGGAGGAACACGAAAAGGGAAAATGGGAGAACATTTTGTAACAAGAGGGAATTCGAGAGCAAGATTGTAAATCCTTTCCCTCACCATTCGAAAGATGAGAGAACATTTGTAAGAGGATATCTGATCCTCATTTTCCGAGAAGCAATAGAAAGCAAATAACATTTCATTGGTATCTTCTATTTTTCTTTTGATTTCCAGTATGTTCTATGTATGTCCTTATTTTGAAGCAAGTAGAAAACAAGAGATAGGAAAGAATTTTATTTCGTTACCTTCATTGCTTGTTGTTCCATCGATTGCCTGAGTAATTATCATTGTAATAGCTTCCAGTTCATCTGTTCATATCGTCGGGATTGAGAGATAAGCAGTTGTGTTTCTGTCATGTTCGTTTAAGAGAGAAGGGTGTGAGTGGAGAGTAGAGAGTGTTGAGAATGGCGCCGGTTTAAGCGATTTACAGCTTGAGTTTCAGCCTCTGGTTTCGTCGAACGAAGAGAGATGAGGGGAGAGGGGTATCGAAGGTGGTCGTGTTTTAGTTTGGGAATGGTTTTAGGTTTAGTATAGAGGATGTTCTGTTCTTAGGTTAAATGTTAAGCTAAGGTTTTAAGATTTACATAAAACGACAGTGTTTTGAATTAGAGTAATTAGTTCTTTAGCCGAGCTAGGGGTAAAATTATGAGAGCACTCCGCTCTATTTTGGGTTAGTGCAATTTAGTCCTCATGTTAAGCTTTTTCGGGTTTCTAATCGCGTCTTTATATTTCATGCGTCTTTCATTTTGGTTCTTCATTATGTTATTCTGAATTTTATATTAGTTTTATATTTAACCTGTAATTTTGTTAGTTGATATTAGTCCCTAAATTCAGTAATTTTGGATTTTCATTCGTTTGTACATTTGGTATGCTTCTTTGGATAATTACATTTTAGTCCAACATGCAATTATGGTTTATTTCGATTTTAACACATGAAATGTGATTATTTGTTTTACATGACTTGCCTTTTGTTTAATTTATGGTCTTAGACTTAGAATTATTTGCTTATTCATTTTAGTCATTATGTTGTTTGTTATTCATTTTCATGATATCATGCATGTAAATATATTAGTATACAATGATTAGTGTTGGATTAAATAGGTTTCATTTAGGATTAATATTAGAGCTTATATTTTTAGATTTGAGCCCCTAAGTTCCTTAATTTTCATAATTTGACTCCGTAGGTTAAAAAAACCTTAATTTATTTTTAGTATAATTAGGATTAAATAAAATTTTGTTTGATTGCATTGTTTTTTAAAACTTAAGGCATTGTTCACTTATTAAGGAGTTAATAGTATATCCTCCGCGATCACACTCAGGGGGTGACTGCTGGTAATTCCCTAAATAAGTCGACATCCTTTTCAAAACCACATCATGTTTTTTTTCTAAAAACGAGGCAATGTTCGGTTATTAGAAACAATAGTTGATCTTCCGCATTTACGCTCGGGGGTGAATGATATCGGTCTCAATAAACGAATATATTTTTCAAACTTTGCATCTATAATGATTTTCAAATTAAATAAAGATTGAACTCAAAATTTCTAATTTTAAATTGAGGATAATCAACTAGGTACCAATTTTTGGGAGCTTGTAGGGGTGCTAATCCTTCCCCACGCGTAACTAACTTTCGAACCTGATTTTTGGATTTTCGCAGACCCCAAAACTAGACATTTTATTAAAATAAAATGTTTTATTAAAATCACTCGGTTTCTACGGTGTTCCAATCTCACCTTAAATGATTAGTGGCGACTCCTCACATTTTGAAAAAATTTTCAAAGAGAGAATCCCAAGTCGGTATCGATTTTTTCCCGCCCGAACGAAAAACAGTGTCGACAAGTATAATAATAAAAATTAATAAATAAAAAAATGAAACAATTTTTAAAGCATGATATTTCGAGTATTTACCAGTTTGTAGGGTTTAGAGGGGGTGTCAGCAATCAGCCAAAGTTCCCATATAATGCTACAAGCAATGTTTAATTCCCAAACTAAAGTGCTCATCCGATTAATTCCCCAAATGGGGTGTTTTCTACAGTAAATTTAGGATCTCTCGGCGTCTTCAGGGTTAACCAGATTTTTGGATTGTTTATTGGGATCTCTGGGCGTCTTTAGTGGAATCCATGAAAAAATTTGACTTTTTTACACAAATATCACCTTAACATAAATTAATTACTTGTTAAGCACTATTTAAGAATATTTTACAGATCTAGCAAATTTTTAAATACTTTCTATAAATTTAATCATATTTTTTTAGTATTTTTTTAATTATTTTATTATTTAATTTTTTTATTATTTAATTTTTTTGCAGTTATAAAATGGAAAGTGGTCATTGAATAATTATATTTGTATTTCTCGGCTTTTAAACTTTTCTCTCGGCTGTAAATACGCTCTCAACCTGTAAACATTCACATCAATCCTCTAAACTAGAAGAATGTTGTCGCTTCAGTATAGATATCCACGTGTTGAGAGTGTATTTATAACCGAGAGAAAAGTTTAAAATCCGAGAAATCCGAATATAATTATTCAATAACCACTTTCCATTTTATAACTGCAATTATAGCCGAGAGAAAAGTTTAAAAGTCGAAAAATCCGAATATAATTATTCAATGACCACTTTTCATTTTATAACTGAAAAAATAAAATAATTAAATAAAAAAAAATTAAATAATACAATAATTAAATAATTAAATAAAATACTAACAAAATATGATTAATTTTATAGAAAATATTTAAAAATTTGCTTTATCTGTAAAATATTCATAAACAGTGCCTAACAAGTAATTAATTTATGTTAAGGTGATATTTGTGTAAAAAGGCTAAAATTTTTCATGGATTTCAACTAAAGATTACTAGAGATCCAAGTAAGAGTAAAAAAATTGATTCACCCTGAAGACGCAGAGAGATCCTAAATCTATCGTAGAAAACACAAACAATTCAACATCCTGAAAACGCCGGGAGAACACATCAAAAAATCTGATTAACTTTGAAAACATCAAAAGATCCCAAATTACTGTAAAAAAAACACCTCATTTAAAATATTAATCATATGATCACTTTAATTTGAGTGTAGCTTTATATGGGAACTTTTGCCGTCAGCAATCAGCATAGGAATGGGAGGGTCAAAGGCATAGCTTTGATGCACTGGCACCGACTTGATTTATTTATTTTAGGATAAATTACATTGGTAGGCGTTGAAATTTTAATATTCTTTCATTTCAATCATCAAACTTTTAAAAATTATTTACAGTCGTTAAACTTTTAATTTGCTTTCATTATGATCACTACCTTAAACAAATGTTACAAAATGTTGATGTGATACCCTAAAGTCTACTCCTAAAAAAATCTTAAGGTCCTAAATTTACAGTTATCATAAAAGATCAAATTTTTAATGAATTGAGTGGTCATCAGTCAATAACAATGGTCGAAAAGATTCGTTTGGCTAAAAAATTAATGTAGTTTTAATTGTAAGCTGATTTGATGATTGATAGCGACATTTCATAAAATTTAGCTTCTAAGTTTTGATTAGGATTTGAGAAGATTAAAAGATTATTTGATGAGTTTGATCCAAAAGAAAGAAAAAGAAAAAAAAATAGTGATCTTATCGAATGAAGAAATCATCAAATAGTTGTAGAAATTATGACAAAATGAGGTTACGATTTAATAAAACTTAAAAGTTGAAACTTTTTAATACTTCATCGTTAACTATAATATTGATTTGAAACTGAAATATGTTAACCTTTGACCAAATAAAGTGTCTCACTATCGAAATTATTCAATGCTCTGTTTATGCGATGTTTGAGCTTTTACAACGACTATTAATTTAAAAAGTTATTTTTTTTAGAAGACGAATTTATCATGTCATGTCGGCTAACAAAAATGATTGCAATTAAAGTAAACTAAAAGTTTGATGATTATAATCCTTTTAAAATTGAATGACCAAAGTGAAAATACCTAAAATGTATAGTGACTACCAGTGTAATTTACCCTTTGTTATATTTCCAAAATTGACGTGGAAAACCGAGCCAACCTCTATCTGTTAACCAGAAGGAAGAAGAACCCGTATCCTGAACCATATGGTACAATAATCATTATATCTTCTATCTGTGTACCATAAAAAGAGAGAGAAAAGCTTTACTTATGTTATTCGACAAAATCTTATATTAGAAAAACAAAATCTTAAAACTTTAATCAAAGCCGGATTTATAAAATTTTAAAAGAAAAATAAATTATTATTGAAAAATTAACATTGTTTATATGAGAGACCCAATATCACACTGTTTTTCTTGAAACGAGTACATAGCATTGGGGACATCGGTGGTGCAGCCAATTTTAACATCGGAAAAAAGCAGTGGATCCACACCGTCTTGGGTAACATAAACAAACATTATGTTCAATTCATTCGCTTCATCATCACGGTAGTAAAAATCACAAACAGATAACTTTGCAAAGTTCCACTTTTTACTCTTCAACCTCACACGTCACAATTACAATCCTCTCGTTTCTCTCTTCCCCCCCCCCCCCAAACCACTTTTAGCCTTCGGCCACTATGCAGACTTAGGGCTTTCGAACGGAATTTGCATTTCGTTAAACCTCATCGACACTATGGTTATTATTATCATCATCATCATCGCCTTCACCGTTGAATTGGGCGGACGAGGGACCACCGACGATGGATTGCTGCTGCTTTTGACCAACTATAGCAAGTGGCTCAGTCAGTTGTTTTCCGTCTCGAGGCGGCGAAAATACTACAGGAAGATAGTGATCCATTTCACATGGGAACTTAGAGTTTCTAAAATGTTCTTTCAACGCCTCTAATCCCTGTACCAATAACAACAATGAGTATTGTCCTTTTATCGAACAAGAGAGAAGTAATCGAGGGAAAAGAAAGAACCTGAACTCTGGCATAAGTAACTTCACAGATCTTTCTGGAGTTGAAAACTTCCCAATGTTGATGATGAAAAGCTTTGTAAAGCCTCCATGTTGCTTGTGGAGATGTCATGTTCACAAATCCATACCCTACATTACACTTGTTGCTGTTTTTTTTCCAATCAAAATATAAACAATTCAAAGCAAAAAGCAAAATATAAACGAATTATGCAAAATACAGAGAAGAAATTATATAAAGCACGGAAGTGAAAAGGAAGTTACTTGAAATCGACAGGGAGGTAGACAAAATCGTAGGAAGATAAGGGCTGATTTCCGCCGTCAGCGGCAATTTGCTCGTTGCAATGGATGCAGTGATTGTCCAACATGTTCAACAACAGTTTCTGACTGCAAGATGCATTATTCAAACACATTCATAATTAAAATAAGAAATAAGCTACTTTAGTATTATATAACTTGTGAAAAAAGACCAACCTATACTTGTTGGGTATGTTCTTGATCATGACAGTGGTCCTGGAATCTTTGCAATTAGATTCCACCATGGCATGTTCACTTATAAGGAATTGAGGATCGAACTTTTTCGCTTGTCTACCTTTCCATGGCCTGCCCCGACACTGCTGCTGCAGCTGTTGCTTACTTCCATCACTACTAGTCACTGTCAATGGGTTATTTTGGTTCTTTACCGTCTTCTTCGGACCTCCCCCACCGCTGCAAACCTTATCCTCAACCCCTGCCGCCATTTCAACAACAGAAAACTTAATGTTGCTATTCCCTGTAGGGTTTCCATTACTAGAATTCATCGCTTTCGTAGTAGGCATCGAGAAAAATCTGTGAGCCAAAAACGATGGCGGCGGCGGTGCGGCAGGAGGAGGAGATGGGTACTTGGGATTTCTTGTATGGTGATTATATTTATATGTGAAAGCGTTAATATCACCATTAAAGAACTTCCTACTATATCCACCAGGCCGACTGAATTGGAGTACAACTTGTTTACCATTAATTTCTTTTCCATTCATTTCTCTTAATGCCTGAGCCGCATCCCTTACATCATAAAACTCCACAAATTTTTGGCGTTTCTTCAATGGCGTTTCTCTTAGTTCCTTCACTGGACCTAAACAACAAAGTTCCAAATTTTAAACAACGCGAGATACCGCTAATTCCAACGTACCAAAAACCGAACTAAACAAGGGAACTTAATCAATAGAAGCCTTTTTTTCAGAAAAAGATTAAAAGTCGAGAAATGAACGGAAACATACCATAAGCTTGGAAAATATCTTTGAGTTTCGAAATTGAAACGGAAGGGTCCAAATTGAAAACCACGACAGTTCCTTGATTAATCCCGTCGGGAACAGCATTACTCGCCGGAATAACGAAGTGCGCCCAAACGGGTTTCCCTGCTATGAGTCCACGAGCGTTGGGGTCGAACGGCTCGAACCCGGCAGAAGCTTCAATATTCTGGTCCCCGACCCTGGTTTGCTGTTGCTTGTGCTGGTCCCGTATCTCCTTCAACGCTTTCTCAGCATGTCTCAGGTCGTAGAAATGTACGGTCACGGTTCCTTCTCGGACCCTTTCCATCTGGACCCCGCGTACTTCCCCGAACACTTCCAATTCTTTCCGCAACTCCGTCTCGCTCACATCGCATGGAACCAACGTCAGCACCAAAGCCCTCGTCGCCGCCGCCGTCGGAGGAGGAAGTGACTGCTGCGGTGCAACGTAAGACGCTGGTGCAGTTACAGGTGCAGGTGCATGTAGTGGAACTACAGCATGGAACGGCGGTACGCCGACGTCGCAAAACGGAACCGTCGGAGATGCAGCAGCGTACGGGTAGTAAAGTTGAGGAGGTGTACAGATAGGAAATTGGGGTTGGCAAACAACGTTGGTGGCCGGCCAAAACTCTTGTGCCGACGGGTCTAGGTTTCCAGGGAACCGGAGCTGACCGGTTTCAGCCATGACAGTTTCAAGGCCGAGAAAAAGATATATATTTTTTTGCCACTTGATAAAAGGAGCTGAGAAAATGTTTCTCTTTTACTAGTTCAACTTAGGAAACTAAAAGGCACGAGAAAACATTTTCTTCGTCTGCACTGCAACAGTGTCGTTTTCCATCTCCAAGAAGGCAATAAATTTCTCCAGGAATCCAAAAAAGGTTGCTAAAAATGTCGTGGTTTCTCAAAATGCCACCTCATGGGAAATATGTTTCTTTTACAGGGAAGCCCCTTATATTTCTGGTGTATTTGATAATAATCCTCCTTGTGATTTTGAGGTGATGAAGTATGTGAACCGTACACGTGGTGGTGCAGAGGAAATGAGTGGTGGGGGAGAGAGTAACAATAAAGCTGGCTCATTTTTGGTATTTTGACTACTCAGACAGTCAGAGTACTCCCTCCTCTCCTCCTCTGCTTTATTGTCAGCACTGTTCACCTTATTAATTCTTTCACATCCGTATATATATATAATATCCAACCTATATTAGGTATTTGCTTATTAAAATATTATCCAAACTATACTATCAAGGTGTTTTTCCTCGAAAAATCATCGGTAATCGTTATATTTATCGATCTAATATCGGTCAGATTATATTTTTTGATCTAACATCCGTAGCAGTAAAGTGCGGCCCCTGAATCGAGTTATATGTTAATTTAGCACCACGTGGAGTATAGCGTGGCCCCTGTACCGCGCTATACACTGACTGGGTTACACGATGGTATAGCGCTCTATACGCCACGTAGAGGTATAGTGCGAATCAGGAGTCGCGCTATACGCCGTACCAAAATTATATTTAACGCGGTCCTTGGTCTGCGCTATATAATAATTACGTATAACGCGGTACAGGTACCGCGCCTTATATGTTTATAAATACCCTTCTTCGGTTACGTTTCTTACATCTCCTCTCATCTCTCCTCTCAACTTATAAATTAATACAACAATTCTGTCAACAAGTAATAATTCTGGCAATCTTCTCATATTTGATTTAGAAGTTCGTGCGATTTTTCGTTATAAGGTAATTTTGTTATAATTTTTAATTATATTTATTATTTATTTATTATCATTATTTGAAAAATATTATACTAATTATTTTCAATTAATTTTTATGTTTGTAAAATTGAAAAGCGGGAGCATACGTCGATATAGTTTTGCAGTGCAGGTAATAGTATAAAATTATATTATTTAAATTATTTACGTTGATGTGTAAAAAAATTATTGTCTTATATTTTCGTTCATATATAATTTATTTAATCATATTTGTTTCAGTAATTTTTTTACAGATATAATATTGATGCACTTTTAAACTCAAAGAATGACGCGATTTTCAGCAATTGTTTATTATGATGGTGAAATTCAAGAAGATGAAACCGGCGTTTTTGTATCAAATGAGCGTGTTAAAATATCATTCAAGAGAAACATAACTCTTGAGAAACTGATAACGAAGATTTCGAGGAAGATTCATGTTGGAAGTAGTAGAAGAATGTCGTCGTTGCAATACAGATTTCCAACATCATTGTTGCCATTAACTTATACAGCGTTCGAACTTTCAAACAATGATGATGTTCAAATGATGGTTGAAGCTCAAAGTAATTATTCAGACGTCGCTATTGAGATGTATGCACATTTTGTTCAAGTGCGTGTTGTTCGGGGTCAATCATTAAGCTCCCACTATGGGCTGACTGAACAAGTTGACAGCCCGACTACAGTAATGTGTAATGATTTTAATGCCATAATGGGGAGATATTCATCCACAACTCCTTACGACATGTACCGAGGTGGGTCTACGAACAATCCGTATTGAAACACCGCGTTCAGTTCAAGGGGAAGACATTCATCTGCAAATTTCTTTGACCATATGGAGATGTCATCGACGTAACCATCTGTGCAGTTTTCATTTGACACGATGGCTTCAAGCTCCAGGGGGAGGCATTCGACTGCGAGTTTTTTCGATCTCAAAGTCGATATGCCTTCTAGTTCAAGGGGAAGAAATGCAAGTAGTAGGTTCTTCGACCTAAATGTGGAGCGTATAGAGGAACCATCATCTCCACCAGAAGAACCGCTTCGTGAGCCTGGTGCGGATGGTGCTGAGACTAGACTATTCATTAACCAGAATCACCGCAATTCAACTCCGATGATGATGATGTAGATGAAGTACCAGGAAATGTGACACAAACTGACCCTCCTGCACACATGTATGAAGTTGATTATGGTGCAATGTACGGGTCAGAATTTGCGGATATGCCTCATCTCGGTGACTATAGATATTACTCATCAATAGATAATGGTGAGTTATCTTTAGGCATGGAGTTTTCAAGCAAATAAGAAGCGATGATGGCTATCAAAAATTACAATATCAGTAATTATGTTCAGTCCAGAGTCAACCGATCGACGACCGAAAAATATGTATGCTACTGTGCCCGACGCAAAAACGGATGCAATTGGATGGTTCGCGTATCGAAAATGAAGAGGAAAAACAACATATGGGAACTAACAGTATACAACGGTCCTCACACATATTGTGCTGGAGGGGTCAACCAATATTATCTCAACTTGGACTCTGAAGTGATATGCCAATCCATCATGCCCATGGTAAAAGTAAGCTCTCATATAGTTGTTGCAGTGTTGATTTCAGCTATACAATCGCAGTATGTGTACACTGTCTCCTATAAAAAAGCTTGGTTGGCAAAAAAATGTCATTTTCAAACTTCATGGCGAATGAGATGCATCTTACAACGAACTTCTAGGTTGATTTAGGCTGGTGCGGACGTTGAATCCTGGATAATTGTGGACTTCGAAACCTCCTATACATACCATAATGATTGAGTTCTTCGCGATCGATGCCAATTCTACCGGGTTTTTTGGAGTTACCCACAGTGCGTTAATACTGTCAAATACTGCAAGCCTGTGGTCCAGATCGACGAGACTTTCTTGTATGGAAAATACAAGCAAGTTTTATTATTGACAGTTGTCCAAGATGACAATCGCAACATTATTCCAGTTGCTTTTGCTCTTGTCGAAGGAGAAGATACATATTCTTGGGCTTTTTTCCTCTGAAATTTACGTGCACATGTTATCACGAGGGAAAACATTTGTGTCATTTCAGATCGCGGAGCTAGGATCAAAGCAGCAATGGAGTCTTTGGGTCCAATGTGGCAACCACCCTTTGTCCAACATAGGTATTGTCTCCGACACATTGCTGCGAACTATCATGGAAGGTATAAGAAGAATGATGAGCGACAATTAATTGTGCGCAAGGGTAAGTGAAAGCAAGTTAGTAAGTTGTAATTTTTTTGATCATTTTAATCTTACAAAGAAAGCAAGTTAGTAAGTTATACATTTTTTGATTCAGTTACGAACTAGTTCCTCGAACGTTTGAATCAATGCTTCAAGATTTGCTGGCGAAAAATGAGAAAGGATACGATTACATCAGCCTCATCTATAAAGAAATGTGGACGAACGCATATGATGGTGGATATCGATATGGAAACATGACGACCAACTTGGCTGAGGCAATCAATTCAACCTTAAAGGGTGCACGTCACTTACCTGTAGCGGCTTTGGTAAAAACTACATATTTTCATTTGGCTGCGCTTTTTGCGAAGTTCGGGGGACAAGCTCAAACCTGGATGCAAGGCGGTCATGTCTATCACCCTATATTAATTACAGATATACAGAAAAAAATTATTGCATCAATTGGAATGTCTGTAACAATCTTCTCTAGAAGGCATGAAATGTTTCGTGTCACAGAGTTACCACGACCTCTTCAAGGGATTGAAGTTGTGTCGTTAAGAGTAAATCTAAGGGACAGAACGTGCGATTGCGGGTTTTTTCAAGCTTTGAAGTATCCATGCTCTCATGTGATAGCAGCTTTCTCGCACACACGTCAAAACTATAACCATTTTGTGGATCCTGTATACCTACTATCTGAAGTTTTTAAGGTATATGAATTTGAGTTTCCCCCATAGGTAATGACAAAGACCCTGATGAGGTTCAAGATTGGCTTCCGATTGTACCAAATCCGAGTTTATTGAGGGAGCGTGGTCGTCCAAAATCCAATCAAATTCATTACGATGTGGATATTCGAGAAAGATCTAGACAAGACAGAAGATGTGGGCATTGTAGAAACCCAGGACACACGAGAAAAACATGTTCACTTCTGTTGTTATCAAGTAACAATTGATGAGGAAATGATGTATTAGTTTATCAAATTATAATTCTTATACTTTAATTTGCATTTACTTCAAGTTAATGATAACCAAATTGGTATTTGAATAAAATTTTAAATACAACAAACTTACAATAAGTATTAAATGGTAAATGATAACCAAACTACAGTAACTGATATTAAATGGTAATAAACAAAATTAACTGAAATACATTAAAAAAAGTCCAACAAATTTAACAAAATAAAGTAAGTATTAAATGAGAAATAATAAAAAAATCACAATTTAACAAAATAAAGTACATACAAATATAAAAAAAATCTATCGATGACTGAGACGCGAATGTGTTCCGCAGGGTGGTGGTTGTCGGTCTCGAGGAGGATTTCTTTGTATCACTGGTTCTGACTCCTCGCTGTCATCATCATCACCATCGTCGTCGTCGTCGTTCTCGTCCTAAGCAAATACATTAGGTTGATGAGGAGTTGATGACGATGAAGCACCTCCATAAAATAAGGACCCTGGAGGTTTATGACTGACTATCCCACCGGCTTGCGAAAACTGGAAAAACTCAGACATCGCTGAGTGTGAAAACTGTACAGGAGGTGCATGTGCTGCGGCCATGGGTGATGAGGCTGAACCTGCCAAATATCAAGTATATGAACCCCAAGTCGAATCTACAAAAATATACCCATAATAGCCTCCATGAGGGGTCATCTGTGACGGTGGCGGCAGCGGGGTCATAAAACCAGGTGAAGGCGGCGGCAGCGACATCTGGTAATGGAAAGGCGATGACGGCATTATATATGGTTGCGACATCATAAATGGTTGTGGTGG